AGTTTAGGGCTGTACATGTACCTGATATAGTATAAGGTTGATACATCTTTGAAGTCGTTCATTTTCGCACTTTAAAGCAATTTCTCTCAAAATGTCTACTTCCTTCATAGCTGCTGCTGTCAATTCTCAAATAAGCTGCTCAGTGGCTTTCAAATAGTATATCCTACACAGGCAGAGTGTCTTTATTTGCCGAATTGGGAAAAAAAGTGCCATTCTCCTTGGGGAGGAAAGGGTTAAAGCTTAAGGATCAAAATTATTTTAGTCTGTTAAAAGTGAGCAAAACTCATAAAATAGCAATGAATAGTGAAGGTTGCTTGATAGAAGGTGACTGAAAGCACATTTTTTTCAAATGTTTTTTAGATATCTGGCATCATTAATGTACAGACTGTAGGGTCCCTATAGATGTGAGTCATGCCTCCATATGGAAAGGCTGGTGCTGTTGATGATCTTTTACTTGACGATGACAAGAAGGACGAAGACATCTTGCCAAACAAGCCATCGATGACTGAATTGAACTCGTTAGTCAAAGATGTGGTCTCTCGATCTTCATGGTGGGACCTTTACGGCATTGACCTGGCCATCATGTGCACCAATTTTGCGCTCCTTCCGATCAGTTACCTCCTGATTGGATCCGACAGTATTCCCTTATTTGTCATTGGTTACGTCTTGTTTGCTTACATACATGCCACGTTTACTGTGAAGCTTGCACATGCAGCTATCCACAATGCACTGGCAGGTTCATCACCATTCTGGAATCGTCTTCTTACTGTGTTCTTTGTTGAGATCTGGGGAGGTTTTACAGAAGAAGCAAGCCATGAGATTCACATCCAAGTACACCATCCTTACACAAATGTCATTGGCTTGGGTGACTCTAGCTCATGGCGTGCACCTTTCTTGGATCGTAATACATACCTGTTCTTTGCACCACTGTTTTTACCCCTTTTCAACACTCCAATTGGTGTATCTCTGCTAGCTGGACGTTGGTTGTCAATAGCTAGGCTCCTTTGTGTAACATCAGCTGGGTACATCATGCACTTCTGCATGTTCCGCTATGTTGCTGGTTTGTCGTTCTTAGGTACCATCTTGTGCATGTTTACAGTTCGTTCTGTATTTGCCATTCCATATATCCATGTGAACATATTCCAACACATTGGCTTGCCGATGTATGATGTCAAAAAGCGTCCGAAGCGACTCTACCAGTTAGCGTCAGCAGCTCTTAATCTTCCCAGGAATCCACTTCTTGATTACTCCTTTGGTCACTCTATCATCAGCTGCCACGTGGAACATCATTTATTCCCGCGCCTGTCTGACAACATGTGTTTGAAGATCAAACCAGTTGTCTCCAGGTACCTCAAGAACAATGGCCTGCCGTACAATGAGGCAACATATCTTGGTCAGCTGAGAAAATTTTACAAGGAATATGATGAACTTATGGTTAAAGCTCCACCAATAACAGAATTGATTGGAATACAGTAGAAAATT